TAAACAATTTATACTGCCCTTACTGCAATGGAAAAATTAATGGGAGGGTCTGACTCATCAGTGGTGACCTCCCCAGCGGTTTCGCCAGTTTAATCTACCATACTGTCCTTAAAGCTTATGTCCATAGTTCATCTAAAATACCCATTCCAAGAGTCTAGCAACAGTATCACTATAAAAGGAAGATCGGAAAATGCAATATAACAGCGGTATGGTAGATTAAACTGGCGAAACCGCTGGGAGGGTTCACCACTGATGAACCAGGCCCTCCCATTAATTTTTCCATCGCAGTAAGGGCAGTAGAAATTGTTAAGAATTCTTTAGAGAAGTTTGCTAGCTTAGAAACACAGGCTGCCGACCGAATATCTGTTTCCATGACCTAAGATACAACATTGCACAATCAGAACCTCATTTCACTGTGGAAGGAATTACTGAAACGTCGGACAATAAATAACTCTCAAGTTGTTTATGTAGGTATAGTCTTATTTATTTATTTATATATCGTAGATTGTGATAATCCGTACTCGTTTTTAGCTTTGTTTTCCACTCTAGTTCAACACAAATTTCCATAACCACTAAATGGAAGATGAAAAACATAGTTTAAAGACGTATATGTATAGATCGCGCGTTATTGCTTTGTGTTAATTTATGCCTAACTGGCCTTGTCTTTATTGTTTGCGGAAGAACATTGCTCGATGCAAATATTTGAATGTAATTCTACTGTCCTATAAGCTTATGTCCATAGTCTTCTTGAAGACCATTTCTAAGATTCCATCCTTCAGTGTAGCATATAAAAGCAGAATGATCCAATACAGTATTAGAGCTCTGAGAAGCGGTCTGGTGGATTAAATTGGCGAAACCGCTGGGAGGGTTCACCACTGATGAGCCAAGCCCTCCCAATATATTTTTTCATCGCAGTAAGGACAGTAGAAGTTTGTATTGTGTATAAAAGAAACATGCGTGCTTTTAAATCCTTTCATTTTATATATATAATCGAAAATAATTAGCTTTCGAGGGGGATATCTTTAGTATTTTTATTTTATCCCTAGTACACGTAGTATAGGCTATGATAAACATGGTAGAAGGTAGTTGGCGGCTGTTTTTACTGTAAGTGTATTTCATGTCGACATAGGTAGAAATAAATTCGAATTTTGAATAACAAGTGTACCAGAGCCCCGTTTAGCTACTTGCACTCACTGGTGGGGTTGGACTTTTGCAAGAATCGGGGGCCATTGGAGCAATTATTTTATACAGAAAAAAAGTTTCCAATTCGGGATTCGATCCTGGATCGTAGCTGTCGACGGTTTCTACCACTGGTGTCCACCGACCTCCCTTCTTCAGTCTGACCATTGAGTAGGTACTGACTACGGATGGGTATTGTCACGAAGTTCTTCTTTTCACTTTACGATGCAACAAAAGAATTTGATCCTAAAGATAGAGGCTGCCTGGCCGGCATTCATATTTCTATTAAAAATAGAAACTTCGGCCAGTTAGAGTTTTTTATTTTTTTCAACGTTTCGACAAATATCTTTTGTCTTCGTCAGGAGAAGTAAATAAAAATAAAGCATTTGGCAAGGCGTTAAAAATAGAACAATTTTTAACGCCTTGCCAAACGCTTTATTTTTATTTACTTCTCCTGACGAAGACAAAAGATATTTGTCGAAACGTTGAGAAAAATAAAAAACTCTAACTGGCCGAAGTGTCTATTTTTAATAGAAAAAAAAAAGGAATATGAAGCGCGCAAGTAAAATCTATATGGCTTTAATCTTATAATTGTCGTATATATATATATTTATATTTTAAAATATCGTCTGCATTTTATTTATATATAGAAATCGTCTTTCAAATAATGGTACGAAATAAATAAAGCAGAAGATTCAGTTTTGATAATAATTTCACACCGCGATAGAAATCTGCGATATATAGAAACAGCGATGTGTAAAATATAGATTAATATAACACAGATAGAAATAAAATTTACATATTTCCATACTACATTATTCATTTTGTTGATCTGGCAACACGGCGTTTATAATACCTGACGAGTATTTCAATGGAATCGTCTGGCAAGAATTTACTTGGAATATATACTGCGCGAACAATGGCGGTTTTTTTTTAAACCTTTTTATACAAACTACATAGCTAATTGAATAAATAAATAACCCCCCTCAAACCCCCGAAGGTATTTTTTTTTATAAATATATTTTGCGTGTATTTTTTTAAATTCGTCTGCTATAGAAATTTAATAAACATGTTCTATATAAAATATATTTGGATCACATTATATATATATAAGCTTTTCATTAGTCCCTTTTTTATTTTCGCATTAAAAGTTTTTATATAAAAAAATACAAATTTTCCAACTTTCTTTAATAAATCATAATCGGATTTGAGAAATCTAGTAAATGAAATATGAAATTAATTAATAAAACATACAAATAGTTATTTTTATAGACAGATGTTTTAGTTGGAGTTTATTTTTAGATCGTTAAGTTTTATATATTCTGCTTCATCAACTCGTTCCATTCTGGCGTTGTTAGCAGACGACACAAAGTATAAATGGAATTTTTTGTTGAAATTTCCAAAAACCTATCGTCTGTTTTGTCACGGTGGTAGTTTAAACAGACGAATATCTTCCAAAATATCGGGAATTAAATACTCGAGAGTTATTAGGGTAAGCACAGACTTTTTATTTATTTAAAGTGTTAATTGTTAAGTAATTAATAATTAATTAGGGACCTCCTTATGTATATTTTTTCCAAAAAAAAAGAATTTTGTCTTTAAATATAAATTAAACCAGAAATATTTAAATATTTTAAAAGGAGGAGATACTACCGTGAGATAATTTGAAGATAATGAATTATATGTGATGGAGGAGTTAACGACAATTTAAACATGCGACGTTTATTACAATCTCATACAGTAATATCGTGTCTTTGGGTTTTCAGTTTGCCGTTACTTCTTTATCAGGTCCTGGTCTTCAGTAGCGCCATACTTATCTTGTATCTTATTCTTCAAATTAAAGCTACTTCGACCAGTAAATCTTTTGTCTCGACGTTTCGACAAAAATCTTTAATTTGAAGTACTATGAATAATTGCTAAATGTCGTTTTACAATCATAAGCCGCATTATATTGTATTATAAATTACTTTATATAATATTTACGAACAGAAAAATATGTCCAGGGTAGCCTAGTGGACGTGGCATCTGCCCGGTAAGCGGAACACTGTGGGTTCGATGCCCATCCCTGGATACTTTATTTTTCCGTTTATCATTACTCTTCACAATTCATTCTATCATACTTCATCCCTAAGGTTAGAAATAAGCGTTATTTCTTCTTAAAATAAATTTCGATTTTTCGTTCAAAAGAAACACATGCGGGATAATTGCTAAATGTCGTTTTATATACAGGCAGCCTCTATCTTTACAATAGTATCTTATTGTATTAAAAAGTATATACACTCATGGACAAAATTTAAGTTGAAAGTATTTAATGTCACCGGTCGTCTATTTTTTTTTTTTTGAAGTAGACAGAGGTTTTTCACACTTAGTTGTCTTCAATAAAGGTCACTGTAATATCTTTCAGAGTTATTGCCCAGATATACATGCTGAAAGGTACAACCTCCTTAAGTTTTGTCCATGAGTGTATATTGGTTATCTAGTGTGTCTTCAATAAAGGTCACTGTAATATCTTTCAGAGTTATTGTCCCGATATACATGGTGAAAGGTACAACCTCCTTAAGTTTTGTCCATGAGTGTATATTGGTTATCTAGTGTGTCTTCAATAAAGGTCACTGTAATATCTTTCAGAGTTATTGTCCCGATATACATGCTAAAAGGTTCCGTAAGTTTTGTCTCCATGAGTGTATATACATCAACAGTTATTAAGTGTTTTATTTCCAAGCTTTCGACGACTTACTGTCACCTTCCTCAGTGGGAGAATTCCCCTGAAGAAGAAAGACATGGTGTCACCGAAAGGTCAGGAAATAATAGAAGTGTTGATATATTGTCTCTTTTTTTAAATAAATATATTAATCAACCAGGCGCGATATTGAAATATTTGCGTCTAATACAGAGGAAACAAAACAACAAAGTATAACTTAGAATTAAATATTTACAAATTTACATGTAATAATCGACAGAGTTCATAAAATATATATAGACAAAGTGGCTGATGTAAGAGAGTTAAATCATTTAGATCAGGGAACAAACGATGTCTCATTTCTGTAAAGTTCAGACAGTCATAGATAAGTTGAAGAGCAGTTTGTTCAGTTTCTCCGCAGGAACAATTTGGTGTTTCTGATAGACCTCTTTTATGTAAGTATTTCTGGCCGTGTGATGTGACAAATTGAGTGACTACAAGATTTGAATAGAACTGTATAGGGCATTGTCTCTTTAAAAACAAATTGCCAACCGGAAACAGATTGCTATCATCTATCTTTAGTTCTTCTCTTTGTATCTTCATAACTTCCAGTCTCTATTGTTCCAGTTCTTTCTTCATTTCTCTTCCCTTTCACCCTCCACAACCGTCTTCTTCATTACACATTTATCTTTATCCTAATTTACATATTTACCCGAATAATTCTGTTTGTTTTCTGGTTGGTGTGTTCATTACACCTCGTTCCTCTCTCAATCTGCTCAAGATTTCTCCCTTCTTGTCTCAGCCCATCTTTACAAACAGTACAAACAAGAGAGTAGTTCTTTGAGCGATGCTCTATAGGTGGATAAAGCGCCATGCTCGAAAGTCGTATCCACCAATGAGAGAGCCCCTCCTGCCCTGATCATCCTTCCTTTAAGATCAATAGATATACACAACTTCCATATAACTTACTTAAAACATATTTAGTAATGTAAAACGACATTTGAAAATTATCACGCATGTGTTTCTTTTTGAACGAAAAATCGAAATCCATTTTAAGGAGAAAAAACGATTATTCCTAACCTTAGGGATGAGGTATGAAAGGATGAATTGTGAAGAGTAATGATAAACGGAAAAATAAAGTGTCCAGTGATGGGCATTGAACGCACAGTGTTCTGCTTACCGGGTAGATGCCATGTCCACTAGGCTACCATCCCTGGACACTTTTATTTTTCCGTTTATCATTACTCTTCACAATTCATCCTTTCATACTTCATCCCTAAGGTTAGGAATAATCGTTATTTCTCCTTAAAATGGATTTCTATTTTTCGTTCAAAAAGAAATACATGCGGGTTAATTTTCAAATGTCGTTTTACAAATATAAGCCGCATTATATTGTATTATAAATTATACAAGTATTTAGTAATGTTTGATTGAGTTATTCAATGGTTAAAAAATTGGCAGGAGAAAAATAACCAATCAAATATATTTACCATCATCCTGCCAGTGATGCCCCCTGTCGGTAAAAGAGCTGAACTAATGACTCCTGGTGGTGGTTGATTGATTAAAGTTACCAGATGACAGTTTTCTAGACTTTTAAATTGTCTATATGTGAAACTCTATATGGCTTTTAATTAAATTCCTATGAAATTTCCCCAGAGGGTAGAATTACAAGATAGCCATTACGAGTTAATACTACATACATGAGAGGCACCTCTCCCTTTGAAATGTATTTTATCCATCACCCCAGTACATAACGTAAATTTGGTGATGAGGAAGAATGAACCACAACACTACCATAACGTTCTGTACTGGGGTGATGAAATAAAATCACAGTTTTAAAGCTTTTTTTTTAAAGGGAGAGGTGCCTCTTTTGATACATGAATACCATTCTATCGTAACCTTATATAACATATATATGTTATATAGTAATATTAAGGCAGATAGGAATCATTAGCAAATTGCAATACAGGAGTTTTATCTATATATATAAAATTGAATGTCTGTCTGTGTGTGTGTGTGTCCTCTATGGATTCAAAAACCATACATCCAATCGCCGTGAAATTTTGGGATATTATTAGGTATATCCCCGGAAAGGTTTACGAAAAATAATTTCTTGAATATCTTGAATATCCTTAGAGTTATTTGCAGATTTGTATATTTAACTCGCAAGCAGCGCCACCATTGAAACGGAGATAGGCTTAGTTTGCTGCTCCTGATGACCTTGGGTCATCGTGTGAGTCACAGCATGATGCTACAAAAACACTCTCTCTGGGGATTTTACAGCGTCGACAACCTGTAAGATTGCCTCTCTCATCTATATATATAAAATTGAATGTCTGTGTGTGTGTCCTCTATGGATTCAAAAACCATACATCCAATCGCCGTGAAATTTTGGGATATTATTAGGTGTATCTCCGGAAAGGTTTACGAAAAATAATATCTTGAATATCTTTAATATCCTTAGAGTTATTTGCAGATTTGTAGCTTTAACTCGCAAGCAGCGCCACCATTGAGACGGAGATAGGCTTTTTCAAGAGGGGGAGTAATGTTAGGAGAGAGGAGCGCGTCTCGAGGCGGGTGCTCACGTGTCACTGTTAAAAACCTATTTGTTTTGGCTACATCTTTTCCCGTGGACTTAACGATAACTTTTCCAAAACTTATTTCAAATTTCATGTATAATTATTTTTACATCATTTAGTTTAGTATAATTATTTACTATAATTTCCTATCGTTCAATTATTATACTTTTTGTTCTTAAAGATTATTTAAGACAATAATCTTTAATTAGAAAGTGCTTTGCCAAAAGTTTGGAGTGGGGCAGACCCCGTGCGAGAATGGATTCGCCCGGCCGCCGGCCGACAGTCAAAGTACCCACCGACCAATCAGGGCAGAGTTGGTGACACAGCTATGCCAAGTAGACAAGAAAAAAAGCCTCGCGGGAGCTTGCCCAAGATGACCTCCGGGAACTTCGTCCATCTTCCATAAACGACCATGAATTTATTCAACCTTATCGAGTATTTTTCAAGGGACCGGAAAAAAATGTTCACTAGATAAAACGATGATTTTGTAATGTAGAAAATTAGGAAAGACAAAATTCAGAATGACACGGCACACAGGGACCGGGAAAAAATGATCACTTTATCAGTTTCAAATTATCAAAATATATCTATTTCTTTTTATAAGTCTATAGAGAATTGTTTTAACAAATGTTCGTTAGACAGACCTTTACTCGGGTACCGATTAATATTGAATTTATTCAACTTATCGAGTATTTTTCAAGGGACCGGGAAAAAATGTTCACTTTATCGAGAGATTCGTTAGACAAACCTTTACTCGGGTAAAACACGGGCAAATGTTCGTTAGACAAACCTTTACTCGGGTAAAACCTCGGGCGAAGCCGGGTACGTCCGCTAGTATATTATACTTTAAACATCTGCTTAATTAAAGCATTTTTCATTTGAAAGAGACTGCTCTCTTAACCCCCTTTAGACAACATTAAATGATATCCCGTGTCGATGATTTTGTAATGTATAGAATTAGGAAAGACAAAATTCAGGATGACACGGCTCACAGGGAACGGTAAAAAATGTTCACTTTATCGAGGAAATACAAAATTCGGGATGACACGGCACACAGGGACCGGGAAAAAATGATATATATATAAAAATGAATGTATGTGTGTGTGTGTCCTTTATGCCTGACCAAACCACTCATTGGAACGCCATGAAACTTTGGGAAGTTATTTAGTATAGTACTGGGAAGGTTTCTGAGAAATAATTTCTTGAATATCTTGAATATCCTTAGAGTTATTTGCAGATTTGTATATTTAACTCGCAAGCAGCGCCACCATTGCGACGATGATAAGTTTTTTATCTATAAGTTTTATTATCACTAAGTTTATTATCTTAAAGATTATTTATCAAAAGTAAGATTATCTCAGGATAACACGGCAATTTATTTGAGACAAGAATAATGATACAATTCCGAGGCAAAGATACTATTCCTTTAACTCCCAATTACCGAGGGAACCAATTAATATTGATTTTATTCAACTTATCGAGTATTTTTCAAGGGACCGGGAAAAAATGTTCACTGGATAAAACGATGATTTTGTAATGTAGAAAATTAGGAAAGGCAAAATTCAGGATGACACGGCACACAGGGACCGGGAAAAAATGTTCACTTTATCGAGAGATTCGAATTTACGGGTTTCAAATTATCAAAATATATCTTTTTTTTTTATAATAGTATTTATATAATAAGTATTTAAAATATGTATATAATAATGTGTATATAAAAAATGTATTTATTATTAAGTTGTTAACGTGATAATCCTGTTGAAGGACTGACAAGTCCGAAAGCTTGAAAATAAAAAGTTGCACAAGAAACTTAGCCCTGGAAGCTTCATTTATTTTATAACTAGCGGATGTACCCGGCTTCGCCCGGGTTTTACCCGAGTAAAGGTTTGTCTAACGAACATTTGTTAAAACAATTCTCTATAAACTTATAAAAAAAAAGATATATTTTGATAATTTGAAACCCGTAAATTCGAATCTCTCGATAAAGTGAACATTTTTTCCCGGTCCCTGTGTGCCGTGTCATCCTGAATTTTGCCTTTCCTAATTTTCTACATTACAAAATCATCGTTTTATCCAGTGAACATTTTTTCCCGGTCCCTTGAAAAATACTCGATAAGTTGAATAAAATCAATATTAATTGGTTCCCTCGGTAATTGGAAGTTAAAGGAATAGTATCTTTGCCTCGGAATTGTATCATTATTCTTGTCTCAAATAAATTGCCGTATTATCCTGAGATAATCTTACTTTTGATAAATAATCTTTAAGATAATAAACTTAGTGATAATAAAACTTATAGATAAAAAACTTATCATCGTCGCAATGGTGGCGCTGCTTGCGAGTTAAATATACAAATCTGCAAATAACTCTAAGGATATTCAAGATATTCAAGAAATTATTTTTCAGAAACCTTCCCAGTACTATACTAAATAACTTCCCAAAGTTTCATGGCGTTCCAATGAGTGGTTTGGTCAGGCATAAAGGACACACATACATTCATTTTTATATATATATCATTTTTTCCCGGTCCCTGTGTGCCGTGTCATCCCGAATTTTGTATTTCCTCGATAAAGTGAACATTTTTTACCGTTCCCTGTGAGCCGTGTCATCGTGAATTTTGTCTTTCATAATTCTATACATTACAAAATCATCGACACGGGATATCATTTAATGTTGTCTAAAGGGGGTTAAGAGAGCAGTCTCTTTCAAATGAAAAATGCTTTAATTAAGCAGATGTTTAAAGTATAATATATGAGAGAGGTAATCTTACAGGTTGTCGACGCTGTAAAATCCCCAGAGAGAGTGTTTTTGTAGCATCATGCTGTGACTCACACGATGACCCAAGGTCATCAGGAGCAGCAAACTAAGCCTATCTCCGTCTCACTGGTGGCGCTGCTTGCGAGTTAAATATACAAATCTGCAAATAACTCTAAGGATATTCAAGATATTCAAGAAATTATTTTTCATAAACCTTTCCGGGGATACACCTAATAATATCCCAAAATTTCACGGCGATTGGATGTATGGTTTTTGAATCCATAGAGGACACACACACACAGAGACAGACATTCAATTTTATATATATAGATTGAGAGAAATATATATATTACATTATTTCTATGTGTTTTGAAGGACTGACAAGTCCGAAAGCTTGAAAATAAAAAGTTGCACAAGAAACTTAACCCTGGAAGCTTTATTTATTTTATAATATTATAATACATGAGTATTATGCCAATGGTATGCAGACATCATAGACAAATATAATAAGACAACTATTATCACTATTCCATATAATTGATCTAATAAAATAATTGAGGATGAAATACCTGACTTGTGGCGTAAAGAAGGAAGAAAATAAAAGATAACGAATTTACATAGCTACAAAAAGGTTAGTGCAGGCCAAGGAACAACAAAAATATTATACAATGTTATACAATATTATATAATGTTATATGTAATTCTGCTGTCCTCAAAGCTTATGTCCATAGTTCATCTAAAATACCCATTCGAAGAGTCAAGCATCAGTATCACTATAAAAGGAAGTTCCAAAAATGCAATATAACAGCGGTATGGTAGATTAAACTGGCGAAACCGTTGGGAGGGTTCACCACTGATGAGCCAGGCCCTCCCTTTAATTTTTAC